CCAATCCTCAAGGTAATCTTAAAGGCGTTGTTCTCGAAAGAGTCTGTTAGTCACTTTGTTGGGGTGCGTTAGCTTCTGCTGATGAGTATAGTTCCCAAGTAGTAAAAAACGGTATTGACTCATGAGTGTAGCCTCTATATTTTATCTTATCGCTGCCAAATCACTTTATGTTCTTAGCATAGATGCCCTTGTAGTCTCAATTACACATGCTTTTCTTAACTGCCTTGTTGTCGAGTTTTGGTTGAAAATCTGATATTGTAGACATTGAAATGGCATTAACATCTGCGGCTGGCTTCATCTCGTTATTGGATGATGAACGACAAGACATTAAGGTATTCCTGGACTGTACAATTGTACCTTTGTAGGCATTTGCTCTGAAACGCTTGACTGATTTGGTCGACGAATTTTGGGCCGAAATATCCGAGTCAGTCGACAAGATTGAAATACTCTATGAGGATACCACCTTTGCTTATCACAAGGCAGCTGCTCTCCTTGCTTCCAAAGTTTATTTTAATCTTGGTGAATACGATGATGCTCTGCATTTTGCTCTTTGTGCTGAGGAATTATTCGATCCTAATGCGAAATCGGAATACGTCAGAACTATGATAAGTGCGCCGCTTTGTTTTAATAATGTGATTTTAGCCAAGTGCATTGATAAATACACATCCATCCGTGCTGAGGATGAAAATAACCCAGGTCAAAAGCTATCTGCGAAGGACCTAAAATCAAGTGGGAGGAAATGGTCTGTTGGTGATGGTAGCACCTACTACCAACTTGAAACCGTTGTCAATCGAATGTTTAACAGATGTTTTGCGCATAAACAGTTTAAGCAAGCACTTGGTATTGCTATTGAAACAAGAAGGTATGTCTATGTAACTGGATTGAGTTTTGTTTCAGAGAGGATACTTTTGAACAGGCTATTTTACTGGCGGAAGACCGTGATGACATGTTACGATATGCGCTCAAAGTGGTGCTTACTCTCGTGGATAGTGTTAAACTGCGCAACCGCTTGTTGAACATTCTTGTTCGTATATACAGCAAAAATCCAACACCAGCAGATTCCGTTCATATATGCCAATGCCTCGTTTTAATGGATGACTCAAAAGTAATATTAAAATTATAGAGAATTCAGTTTAATTTGATTGAATTTAACTTAGTTCCTTTGTTTGTAGGCCACTGCTGAAGCCCTTGAAAGTTTGATTTTATTGTCCGAAGAGGCGGCCGTCACCGCTTATCAAATCGGTTTCGATCTTTACGAAAATGCAACGCAGCAGTTTTTGCACCAGGTTTCTGCTGCTCTGTCACATAGCGAGAAGATAGGGCATTTAATGGAGCGTCCAAAACCCGTTGGGAACGAAGAGGGAGATACAAAAAAGTCTGAAGAGGGGGCCACTGGTGAGCCTGGTCCTGCTGAACAATCTTCAGAGGAAGATCTTAAGACTGAGCTTTCTAGTGAAGATAAGGCCGTTAAGAAGCGCCTTGAGCTGCTTCAAAGCATTCTTTCGGGTGATAAGGTATTTCAATTCGCGTAAATTTCGTCGCTTTTAATCTCATTATTACCGACAATTTTTGTTCGGTAGGTGATTGAACTGCATTTGCAATTCCTTATCCGCAACAACAAAGCCGATTTGCGCTTGCTTGAGCGAATTAAGGAAGATGTTCGTAATTCGGTCACCCACAATGCTACTGTCATCACCAACAGCTTGATGCACTGCGGAACTACATCAGATCAGTTTCTTCGTGATCACCTCACGTGGCTGGGCAAGGCTGTCAACTGGGCAAAGTTCACAGCAACTGCTACTCTTGGTGTAATACATCGAGGTGTTCGCTTCATCTAATTTTTGCTATTTTTTTTCGAAAATATATTACCATTCTTTTTGGGCAGGGAACGAAAAGGAAGCGCTTCGTCTTATGTCAGCTTACCTTCCGAAGGATTCTAGTGGATCTTCCAGCAGCGTCTACACTGAAGGTGGGGGCTTGTATGCTCTGGGTCTTATCCACGCTAATCATGGTGGCGCAATGACTGGTAGGGTTTG